AATCTGGTTAGATGGGGTGTTTTTTGGTATATAAATACTGGGGGATGGGGGGTTAAACTATTAATTACTGGGTTGTGGGGTGTATTTTCTATTTTAATATACTGGTTTTGAGGGGTTAGGATATAATATAAATGGGTTTGATGGGTTTTTTGCTCTAAATAAAACGTACTGGTTTTGATGGGGGGGCGAAACTATATAAATTTCTGTTGGGGTTTTCGGGGGTGGGGGTTTGGGGCCCATTTTTAAAAATACTGGTTAGATGGGGTGGTAAATATAAAATACTGGTTAGATGTGGTTTTAGCTATATAAATATATGGTTAGATTGGGGGGTATATATAATATACTGGTTTTGATTTTGGGGTTTTATCTATATAATATCTGGGTTTAAAGGGGGTTTTTAGGGTTTTAAAATACTGGTTAGATGGGGTGTAGGTTCTTATAATATACGGGACTGGTTTTGGGTTTGGGGGGGAGTATAAATTACTGGTTAGATTGGGTGGTAGCTATATAATATACTTTGGGTTTGATTGGGGGGTAGCTATATTTATACTGGTTAGATGGGGGGGTAGCTATTAATTTTTGGGTTTGATTTTGGGTTTTTTGCTAATAAAATACTGGTTAGGGGGTGGGCTATATAATATATGGGTTTGTGGGGTGTGGTATTTTAAAAATACTGTACTGGTTAGATGGCGTGTGTTTTATAATTTTACTGGTTTGATGGGGTGTTTGCTTAAAAAATCTTTCTGGGTTTGAAAAGGGGTGTAGCTATTAATTTACTGTATGGTTTGATTTTTTGGGTTTTACTATATAATATACTGGTTAGAGGGGGGTACAAAAAATATACTTTTAGATTGGGGGGGTAGGTATTTAATATACTGGTTGTGGGGTTTTAGCAAAATTTAAAAAATAATGGTTAGATTGGGGGGGGTAAACTAATTAATATACTGGTTAGATTTTGGGGGGTAGCTTATAAAATACTGGTTAGATGGGGGTTTTAGCTATATTTTTTTTACTTGGTTTTGGGGTTTTTTTGCGATTAAAAATTTCTGCCCGGTTTGGGGGGGTTTGCTATATAAAAAATACTGACTGGTTAGATGGGGGGGTTTTGCTATTAAAATACTGGTTTAGTTTTGGGGTGGAGCTATATAAAATACTGGGTTTGATGGGGTGTAAACTTATAATTACGGGTTTGATGGGGTGGCTTTTAAATACTGGTTAGATGGGGTTAGCTATTTTAATTTACTGTTTTGGGTTTGATTTTGGGGGGTAGCTAAAATAAACTGTACTGGTTAGATGGGGGTTTTTAGCTATTAATTTTAACGGGGTTGATGGGGTTTGTAGCTAATAATTTTACTGGTTTGTGGGGTGTAGCTATTAATATACTGTTTCTGGTTAAAAGGGGGGGGGTTTTGCATATAATTACGGTTTTTTTGGGTTTTTAGGAATAAAAAACTGGTTGATGGGGGGGGTAGCTATTAATATAAATGGTTTTTGGGAAAGGGGGTGGTTTTTAAACTATATAATATCTGGTTGATTTGGGGTTTTACTAATAATAACTGTACGGGTTTTGATTTGGGGGTGTAGGTATATAATATTTCTTCCCGGTTAGATGGGTGTTTGCTATATAAAAATAAATGGGTTTGATGGGGTGTAGCTATATAATATCCTGGTTAGGTGGGGGGGTAAACTATTTTTTAAAAATATGGTTAAAATGGGTGTAGCTTTCAAATACTGGTTAGAGGGGGGGGTTATAATATTACTTTAGATGGGGTGTAGCTATATAATATACTGTACTGGTTAGATGGGGTGTAGCTTTTAATTAAGGGAAATGGTTAGATGGGGGGGAAATATAATATACTGGGAAATGGGGTTTGATGGGGGTTTTAGCTATTTTAAAAACTGGTTGATGGGGGGTTTTAAAACATATAAAATACTGAAATTTTTAGATGGGGTGTACTAATAATATCTGGTTAGATTGGGGGGGAGCTTTTTAAAGATAAATGGTTAGATGGGGTTTTAGCTTTTATAAATATGGTTAGAGGGGTTTAGCATATAATAACTGGTTTGATGGGGTTTTTTTTAAATAAATTTTAAATGGTTAGAGGGGGTTTTAATATATAATATACTGTATCGGTTAATGGGGTTTTTTTTTGGGGGGTATATAAAATACTGGTTAATGGGGGTACTTATAAAAATGGTTAGGGGGGGGTTTTTAGCTATATAAATACTGGGGTTGATGGGGTTTTTGCTATAAAAAATACTGGTTTGATGGGGTTTGGGGCTTTATATAAAGGTTAGATGGGGGTGCATATAAAATAAATGTAATGGGTTTGAAAAGGGGGGGGGGAGCTATATAATATTTTGGTTAGATGGGGGTAGCTATTAATTTTACTGGACTGGTTAGAGGGGGGGTAGCCTATTTTAAAATACCCGTAATGGGTTTGATTGGGGGGTAGCTATATAATATACTGGTTTTTGATGGGGGGTTTTTAGCTAATAATAACTGGTTTGATGGGGTGCCCATAAAAAATATACTGGGTTAGTGGGGGTTTTAGCTATAAATTACTGGGGGGATGGGGGGGGTAGCTATATAATTTTTACTGGTTAAAATTTTTGGGGTGTACTATATAATATCCCGGTTTGATGGGGGGTTTTTTGCTATATAATATTTTGGGTTTGGGTGGGGTGTCCCATATAAAATAATGGTTTTGATGGGGGGGTACTATATAATATATGGTTTAATTTTTTTTTGGGGTTTTTTAAACTATATAATATACCCGTACTGGTTAGATGGGGTGGAGCTATATAATATACTGTACTGGTTAGATGGGGGTTTTTTGGAGTTATTATATACTGGGGTTTGATGGGGGTGTAGTATATTTAAATACTGGTTAGATGGGGGTGTCTATAAATTTACTGGGTTTGATGGGGTGTTTAAACTTTTTTTTTTAAAATTTCTTGGGTTTGATTTGGGGTTTTTGCTTTAAATAATGTAACTTGGTTAGATGGGGGGTTTTTGTATAAATTCCCGTACTGGGTTAATTTTTTTGGGGTTTTTAGCTATTAAATACTGGTTAGATTTGGGGTTTTGTATATAAAATTAAATGGGTTTGATGGGGTGTAGCCCATATAAAAATACTGGTTTTTGGGGGGGGGGTTTTTTTGTAGCTAATTTTATCTGGTTAGATGGGGGGGTAGGATATAATATATGGTTAATGGGGTGTTTTGGGGTAATAAAATTAATGGTTAGATTTGGGGGGGAGCAATTAAAAAAACTTTTAGATTGGGGGTGTAACAATAATTTTACTGGTTTTGTGGGGGTTTTTAGCATATAATAATGGGTTTTAAAGGGGGGTAGTATATAATATACTGTCCCGGGTTTGATGGGGTGTAGCTATATAATTACTGTACTGGTTTTGATGGGTGTTTTTAATTTTAAAAATTTCTGGTTTAAAGGGGTGTAGCTATATAATATACTGGTTTTGATGGGGGGGTGCTTATATAATAACTGGGTTTGATGGGTGTAGCTATATAAAATCTGTACTGGTTAATGGGGTTTTTTCATATAAATATGGTTTGATGGGGTGGAGCTATTAAAATTACTGGTTAGAAAGGGGTTTTTACATATAATATACTGGTTAGATGGGTGGGGGCTAATAAATACGGTTAGATTGGGGGGGTGGTTTAAACTATTAAATACTGGTTTTTGATGGGGGGTTTTTAGCTAATATTACTGGTTAGATGGGGGGCCCTAGCTAAAATTAAAAATACTGGGGTTTGATTGGGGGGTTTTAGCTATTAAAATTTCGGTTAGATGGGGGGTTTTTAGTATATAATATCCCGGTTGATGGGGTTTTTAACTATAATATACTGGTTAGATGGGGTGTAGCTATATAAAAATACTGGGTTTGGGGTGGGGGGAGCTTTTATAAATTTTAATTGGTTTTTAAAGGGGGGGTTTTTTACTATTAAAATACTGGGTTGATGGGGGTTTTGGGAGCTTTTATAATATACTGGTTTGATGGGGGTTTTTTTGTTTTTTAGTAATTATACGGGGTTTGATGGGGTGTTGGCTATATAAAATACTGGATAGATGGGGTGTTTGCTATATAAATTACTTGGGTTTGTGGGGTGTAGCTTATTTAAAATTTTGGGTTTGATGGGGGGTTGGGGGCTATATAATATACTGGTTAGATGGGGTGGAGCTATATAATATACTGGTTAGATGGGGTGGAGCTATATAATATACTGGTTAGATGGTTACATAATACACTTGTCGATTAACTATGACGCTTTCATATTATATGATGTGTTCATGGAGAAACGTAATGAATACCAACTGTATACACTGCTTCCTTACTTGGACTTTGTGGTTCCATTCCATGATATTATAGAGACAGTTGTGGAAACGTATTGTCTATAGCCACCTCAACTAAATGAGCGAACCTGTAGTCATCATTTCATTGTACTGTGTATCACGTGTATCCTGTACATACGACAAATAAACTGGACTCGAGGAGTTGGAGTCTAACAACATCACATGACCCGGTGGATCACTTTGAGTCAAACGTATTGGTTGGAGAGATCGGCACAAAATTATCTCCAAACAACGTTAATGGTCATCAAAATCTATCAATCAATCAATCAATCAATCAATCCAACATTAAAAATCCATTGGCACCAACTGTCATACTTCAGATCGCTTCAGATTAAAACAGTCATTTACACAGAACATTTCAGACAAGTATCTTTATTTTTTCTGATTGGACACCAATCACTGATCTGGGACATCCAGTAACAGGCTACATTACAATAAAGAAGAAGGAGAGAATTCTCCACGGTGACTGGCAGCCATTTTGGTCACATGGGCTGCGTTGTACATCACACCTGGGCTCTGGTCGAAAGTCCTGCCCCGTATAGGCTGTCATTATGGATGCAAGCCATGTTCCAGAGAGCAGTCGGAGGCAGCTGTTAAAATGTATTTGAGGGCACCACCACGACCCCCCCCCCCTCACACCCTCCCTGGGTTGTGGAACTTTCCGCTGTACTTCCCGTGATTGTGGAGGTCAAAGGGGCTGAGGACCCTCCTGACCCCCAGCATGTTGCCCCTGGCGATCCTCTGGAAGGTCCAGGGGTTCTGGTTGTTAAGTTCCATGTCCTGCTGTTCTCGCTGCATGGCTGCTAGGCTCTCTCTGGACACTACCTGGTGGAGAGAGGTCAGAGGTCAGAGGTTACATAAGGACAGGATCAGGTATAGTGTTCCTGCTACCAAGGCTCTCTCTGGACACTACCTGGTGGAGAGAGGTCAGAGGTCAGAGGTTACATAAGGACAGGATCAGGTATAGTGTTCCTGCTACCAAGGCTCTCTCTGGACACTACCTGGTGGAGAGAGAGATCAGAGGTCAGAGGTTACATAAGGACAGGATCAGGTATAGTGTTCCTGCTACCAAGGCTCTCTCTGGACACTACCTGGTGGAGAGAGGTCAGAGGTCAGAGGTTACATAAGGACAGGATCAGGTATAGTGTTCCTGCTACCAAGGCTCTCTCTGGACACTACCTGGTGGAGAGAGAGGTCAGAGGTTACATAAGGACAGGATCAGGTATAGTGTTCCCGCTACCAAGGCTTCTCCTGGACACTACCTGGTGGAGAGAGGTCAGAGGTCAGAGGTTACATAAGGACAGGATCAGGTATAGTGTTCCTGCTACCAAGGCTCTCTCTGGACACTACCTGGTGGAGAGAGGTCAGAGGTTACATAAGGACAGGATCAGGTATAGTGTTCCCGCTACCAAGGCTCTCTCTGGACACTACCTGGTGGAGAGAGGTCAGAGGTCAGAGGTTACATAAGGACAGGATCAGGTATAGTGTTCCTGCTACCAAGGCTCTCTCTGGACACTACCTGGTGGAGAGAGGTCAGCGGTTACATAAGGACAGGATCAGGTATAGTGTTCCCGCTACCAAGGCTCTCTCTGGACACTACCTGGTGGAGAGAGAGGTCAGAGGTCAGAGGTTACATAAGGACAGGATCAGGTATAGTGTTCCTGCTACCAAGGCTCTCTCTGGACACTACCTGGTGGAGAGAGAGGTCAGAGGTCAGAGGTTACATAAGGACAGGATCAGGTATAGTGTTCCTGCTACCAAGGCTCTCTCTGGACACTACCTGGTGGAGAGAGGTCAGAGGTTACATAAGGACAGGATCAGGTATAGTGTTCCTGCTACCAAGGCTCTCTCTGGACACTACCTGGTGGAGAGAGGTCAGAGGTTACATAAGGACAGGATCAGGTATAGTGTTCCCGCTACCAAGGCTCTCTCTGGACACTACCTGGTGGAGAGAGGTCAGAGATCAGAGGTTACATAAGGACAGGATCAGCTATAGTGTTCCTGCTACCAAGGCTCTCTCTGGACACTACCTGGTGGAGAGAGGTCAGAGGTTACATAAGGACAGGATCAGGTATAGTGTTCCTGCTACCAAGGCTCTCTCTGGACACTACCTGGTGGAGAGAGAGGTCAGAGGTCAGAGGTTACATAAGGACAGGATCAGGTATAGTGTTCCTGCTACCAAGGCTCTCTCTGGACACTACCTGGTGGAGAGAGAGGTCAGAGGTCAGAGGTCACATAAGGACAGGATCAGGTATAGTGTTCCTGCTACCAAGGCTCTCTCTGGACACTACCTGGTGGAGAGAGGTCAGAGGTCAGAGGTTACATAAGGACAGGATCAGGTATAGTGTTCCTGCTACCAAGGCTCTCTCTGGACACTACCTGGTAGGAGAGAGGTCAGAGGTTACATAAGGACAGGATCAGGTATAGTGTTCCTGCTACCAAGGCTCTCTCTGGACACTACCTGGTGGAGAGAGAGGTCAGAGGTCAGAGGTTACATAAGGACAGGATCAGGTATAGTGTTCCTGCTACCAAGGCTCTCTCTGGACACTACCTGGTGGAGAGAGAGGTCAGAGGTTACATAAGGACAGGATCAGTATAGTGTTCCTGCTACCAAGGCTCTCTCTGGACACTACCTGGTGGAGAGAGAGGTCAGAGGTCAGAGGTTACATAAGGACAGGATCAGGTATAGTGTTCCCGCTACCAAGGCTCTCTCTGGACACTACCTGGTGGAGAGAGGTCAGAGGTCAGAGGTTACATAAGGACAGGATCAGGTATAGTGTTCCTGCTACCAAGGCTCTCTCTGGACACTACCTGGTGGAGAGAGGTCAAGGTCAGGTTACATAAGGACAGGATCAGGTATAGTGTTCCTCCTACCAGGCTCTCTCTGGACACTACCTGGTGGAGAGAGGTCAAGAGGTCAGAGGTTACATAAGGACAGGATCAGGTATAGTGTTCCTGCTACCAAGGCTCTCTCTGGACACTACCTGGTGGAGAGAGAGGTCAGAGGTTAGAGGTCAGGAATAGGATTAGAATCAGAGGAAATTATACACGTCTTTACAATCAGATTCATAGTCCTCCCTATAGGGTGGCATGGTAGAATGTAATAAGGTCTGTGATGTTACCACAGTAGAATTCAATATCCCAAGCCTCCCAGGGAACTTGCAAATACCCGTCTAGTTTTGTTGTTTTCAACATATACCTGCATATAAAAAGAGAGGGTGCTACTGTGATTGACCAGCACCACCCCTAGATTTTGGCCCCATTTCTTCAACCTGTATTTATCCCCAGCGGGGAACTGACCTTGGCAGGGAAGGGCAGTTTCTTGGCCACCTCCTTGAGGATAGGCTCCACCTCCCCCAGTTCCAGCCGACCCCCCACCTCCACAATCATCCGTCCGTACTTCACCGGCGTTACGTAGTGGTCTATCGCCCCCTTCCCCCCTCCCATCCTCTGGCCCAGGCCCTTCCTGGTGATGGGCTTGTAGGGGGCGTTAATGCGCCAGCGGGCGAAGGTGGTTCGAGGGTCCATCCTCCTGTTGATGGTCATGACGCCTCATTACTCTCCATGTGAACCGAAGTTGGTGAGGGTAACCCCTACGCCTCAGCGCCTTGAGGATGAGGGGACGGAGACGAGACGAAGACGAGGACGGACGAGCGGAGAGGAGATGGAGAGGAGAGGAGAGGAGAGGAGAGGAGAGGAGAGGAGAGGAGAGGAGAGGAGAGGAGAGGAGAGGAGAATGATTAGGTAAGAAGTGGAGGAGGGGGTTTGAAAATGTGAAGAAACGAAATCATAACTTTGATCAGTCACAGAACAATTCTGGAACATTGACCTTTAGGGGGGAATGCCTTTTGATCCAATAGAAACTAACATCCTCAAGGCCCAGGCCGGGACAGCCTTGATCCAATTGGAACTACATCCACAGGCCCAGGGGACAAGCCCTGCATCAATTGAACTACATCCAGGCCCAGGGGGAAGCCTTGAATCAATGGAACTACATCCACAGCCCAGGGGGAAGCCTTGATCATGGAACACATCCACAGGCCCAGGGGAAGCCTTGATCAATGGAACTACATCCACAGGCCCAGGGGGAAAGCCTTGATCAATGGAACTACTCCACAGGCCCAGGGGAAGCCTTGATCAATGGAACTACATCCGCAGGCCCAGGGGAAAGCCTTGATCAATGGAACTACATCCACAGGCCCAGGGGAAGCCTTGATCAATGGAACTACAATCCACAGGCCCAGGGGAAGCCTTGATCAATGGAACTACATCCACAGCCCAGGGGAAGCCTTGATCAATGAACTACATCCACAGGCCCAGGGGAAGCCTTGATCAATGGAACTACATCCACAGGCCCAGGGGAAAGCCTTGATCAATGGAACTACATCCACAGGCCCAGGGGAAGCCTTGATCAATGGAACTACATCCACAGGCCCAGGGGAAAGCCTTGATCAATGGAACTACATCCACAGGCCCAGGGGAAAGCCTTGATCAATGGAACTACATCCACAGGCCCAGGGGGAAGCCTTGATCAAGGAACTACATCCACAGGCCCAGGGGAAGCCTTGATCATGAATAATCACAGAGGAAATGATCATGAACAATCAGCCAGGGAAGCCTGATCAATGAATCATCCCAGGCCCCAGGGGAAGCCTTGATCAAGGAATACCATCCAGGCCCAGGAACCTGTCAATGACTACATCCACAGGCCAGGGGAAGCTTGATCATGGAACTACATCCACAGCCCAGAGGGACCTTGATCTAGGAACTACATCCCAGCCCGGGGAAGCTGATCAATGAACTCATCCAGGCCAGGGAAGGCCTTGATCATACTACATCCACAGGCCAGAGGGAGCCTTGATCATGGAACTACACTCCACAGCCCAGGAAGCCTGACAAGAACTACTCCCAGCCCAGGACAGCCTTGATCATGACGTACATCACAGGCCCGGGTAAGCCTGATCAGGAACTACATCCCAGCCCAGGGGAAGCCTTGATCAAGGAACTACTCCCGGCCCGGAGGGAAGCCTTGATAAGGAACTAATCCACAGCCCAGGGAAGCCTTGATCAGGAACTACATCCCAGCCGAGGAACCTGATCATGAACTACATCCACAGCCAGGACGAAGCTTGATCATGGATACACCACAGCCCAGGCGGGAAGCCTTGAAAGGAACTACATCCACAGGCCCAGGAGGGAAGCCTTGATCATGGAACTACATCCACAGGCCAGGAGGGAAGCCTTGATAATGAGAAACTACATCCATCACCGATTGATCAACAATCACAGGCCCAGGGGAAAGCCTTGATCAATGGAACTACATCCACAGCCCAGGGGGAAGCCTTGATCAATGGAACTACATCCACAGCCCAGGGGAAAGCCTTGATCAATGGAACTACATCCACAGGCCCAGGAGGGAAGCCTTGATCAATGGAACTACATCCACAGGCCCAGGGGGAAGCCTTGATCAATGGAACTACATCCACAGGCCCAGGGGAAAGCCTTGATCAATGGAACTACATCCACAGGCCCAGGGGAGCGCCTTGATCAATGGAACTACATCCACAGGCCCAGGGGAAAGCCTTGATCAATGGAACTACATCCACAGGCCCAGGGGGAAGCCTTGATCAATGGAACTACATCCACAGGCCCAGGGGAAAGCCTGATCAATGGAACTACATCCACAGGCCAGGGGGAAGACTTGATCAATGGAACTACATCCACAGGCCCAGGGGAAAGCCTTGATCAATGGAACTACATCCACAGGCCCAGGGGAAAGCCTTGATCAAAGGAACTACATCCACAGGCCCAGGAGGGAAGCCTCTGATCAATGGAACTACATCCCACAGGCCCAGGGGAAAGCCTTGATCAAAGGAACTACATCCACAGGCCCAGGGGAAAGCCTTGACAAAAGGAACTACATCCCACAGGCCCAAGGGGAAAGCCTTGATCAATGGAACTACATCCACAGGCCCAGGGGAAAGCCTTGATCAATGGAACTACATCCACAGGCCCAGGGGGAAGCCTTGATCAATGGAACTACATCCACAGGCCCAGGGGAAGCCTTGATCAATGGAACTACATCCACAGGCCCAGGGGGAAGCCTTGATCAATGGAACTACATCCACAGGCCCAGGGGAAGCCTTGATCAATGGAACTACATCCACAGGCCCAGGGGAAGCCTTGATCAATGGAACTACATCCACAGGCCCAGGGGAAGCCTTGATCAATGGAACTACATCCACAGGCCCAGAGGAAGCCTTGATCAATGGAACTACATCCACAGGCCCAGGGGAAGCCTTGATCAATGGAACTACATCCACAGGCCCAGGGGGAAGCCTTGATCAATGGAACTACATCCACAGGCCCAGGGGAAAGCCTTGATCAATGGAACTACATCCACAGGCCCAGGGGGAAGCCTTGATCAATGGAACTACATCCACAGGCCCAGGGGAAAGCCTTGATCAAAGGAACTACATCCACAGGCCCAGGGGAAAGCCTTTGATCAATGGGAACTACATCCACAGGCCCAGGAGGGAAGCCTTGATCAATGGAACTACATCCACAGGCCCTGGGGAAAGCCTTGATCAATGGAACTACATCCACAGGCCCTGATGGGAGAGTATTTTGACACATAACCCTCCTAGGCATGTAGACGGTGTTCTCTGTGTATTGAACACATGGGGTACACACACACACACACACACACACACTCACACTCACACACACACACACACACACACACACCACACACACACACACACACACACACACACACTCACCACGATGCCATACTGTCCCTTGGTGAAGGTGTTGGCTGTCTGGGCTGGTCCCTGGATGTCTCTTAGCTTCTTCATCTCCTTCCTCGCCTTCTTAAAGTTCGGCACCTTGTTCAGAAACTTCAGCTTGGGCCGTTCAGGCAGCACAACCTCTACAGGGGTTGGGAAGGGGGTCACAGACAGGGTCACAGGGTCACCGACAGGGTCACAGACAGGGTCACAGACAGGGTCAAGGTAAACGTGTATGGAGCCTGGGTGATCTTGACCTTTGACCTGTAGCCAGAGTGTGTGTGTGTTTGTGTGTGTGTGTGTTTGTGTGTGGTCAGAAACCTTGACTGACACGATGTCATGTTGTTATGATGCAAACTGAATCCTTGACCTCCATCACTGTGACCATCAACTTGTCGCCATTCTAGCTAAGAGGGGTCAATCCAATACTTCATTCATTCTAGCTAAGAGGAGTCAATACAATGCTTCATTCATTCTAGCTAAGAGGAGTCAATACAATGCTTCATCCATTCTAGCTAGAGGGGTCAAATACCTGCTTCATTCATTAGCTAAGAGGGGTCAATAGATGCTTCATTCATTCTAGCTAAGAGGGGTCAATACAATGCTTCATTCATTCTAGCTAAGAGGGGTCCATACAATGCTTCCTTCATCTAGTAAGAGGGTCAATCCAATGCTTTCTTCATTCTAGCTAAGAGGGTCAATACAATGCTTTCATTCATTCTAGCTAAGAGGGGTCAATACAATGCTTCATTCATTCATTCTAGCTAAGAGGGGTCAATACAATGTTTCATTCATTCTAGCTAAGAGGGGTCAATACAATGCTTCATTCATTCTAGCTAAGAGGGGTCAATACAATGCTTCATTCATTCTAGCTAAGAGGGGTCAATACAATGTTTCATTCATTCTAGCTAAGAGGGGTCAATACAATGCTTCATTCATTCTAGCTAAGAGGGGTCAATACAATGCTTCATTCATTCTAGCTAAGAGGGGTCAATACAATGCTTCATTCATTCTAGCTAAGAGGGGTCAATACAATGCTTAATTGATTCATTCTAGCTAAGAGGGGTCAATACAATGCTTAATTGATTAATTCATTCAAGGAAGCCAGTTCAGATGACTGATTGTTAAGATGCAAAGTAAGTTAGTTACCGCTGTAGTCTGGAGGCACCTCGTATGTCTTCATCCCAGCAGACAGGACCTTCAAATGGCTCTGCAGGACATCTGGACAACAAACAAACACTGTTTTATATTGCTGCTAGCTAGCTAAAGCCGTTAGCTAGCCAGTCCAGCTATCATACTAGTGGCTGCAGGCAGGTATTCAAACGTGTCAAGATGCAAGAATACATCATTAATCATGATAATTTCTTTAAGATCATCTAGCTGGTTGGTTTGTAGGGCAGCCATTCACAGCTAGCTAGTGTTTGCAGCGACACAAGTCTCCCCCTTACCTTGGACCCCCGTTGATCTACCACCGTTGGCCAATCCGACAAGAGCGGACTTGATTAGAGAAAGCATAGCTGCAAGTTATTTACTATTAACTATGTTAGAAATTGATCTTTTATGATATCTTCACCATCATTTCAATGAAACAACTATTATAGGTTACGATAAATAGGTTCGTTTATAAAATCACGCTTGCACAAGGTCGCACCGCTATGAAGCGGGTAAGAATGACAGAGTACTTCCGGGTCACGGATTTTTTGCAACCCTTCAGAATAAAAGTTCCATCCTGTATACTTTGTTAATTAATAATTAGTGCGGAAATTATGGAAAATGTACACAATTATTAATACATTTTATACTAAGTTATCATACAAAGAATAATTAAAAGTAGTTCTATAAGATATTGTCATAAAAAATGTAATAAATGTCAAGCCTACAAATAATTATGTTTTTTGTTTGTGTACTTCTATCATTTATTGCACCTTACAAAATTATCTGTCCATTGTGTAGAGATAGTAGAATGACCCCCCTGAGCAGCGACACTCCTCTGGGTGGAAACTCTGTGGATTTGGAAACTAGTGGACCCCCCTGAGTAGCGACACTCCTCTGGGTGGAAACTCTGTGGATTTGGAAACTAGTGGACCCCCTGAGCAGCGACACTCCTCTGGGTGGAAACTCTGTGGATTTGGAAACTAGTGGACCCTCCCGCGTGGCGACCCCCTGGGTGGAACTCTGTGGATTTGGAAACTAGTGGACCCTCCGAGTAGCGACACTCCTCTGGGTGGAAACTCTGTGGATTTGGAAACTAGTGGACCCCTCTGGTGGAAACTCTGTGGATTTGGAAACTAGTGGACCCCCCCCCTGAGTAGCGACACTCCTCTGGGTGGAAACTCTGTGGATTTGGAAACTAGTGGACCCCCCCTGAGCAGCGACACTCCTCTGGGTGGAAACTCTGTGGATTTGGAAACTAGTGGACCCCCCCTGAGCAGCGACACTCCTCTGGGTGGAAACTCTGTGGATTTGGAAACTAGTGGACCCCCCTGAGTAGCGACACTCCTCTGGGTGGAAACTCTGTGGATTTGGAAACTATGTGGACCCCCCCTGAGCAGCGACACTCCTCTGGGTGGAAACTCTGTGGATTTGGAAACTAGTGGACCCCCCTGAGTAGCGACACTCCTCTGGGTGGAAACTCTGTGGATTTGGAAACTAGTGGACCCCCCTGAGCAGCGACACTCCTCTGGGTGGAAACTCTGTGGATTTGGAAACTAGTGGACCCCCCCCTGAGTAGCGACACTCCTCTGGGTGGAAACTCTGTGGATTTGGAAACTAGAAGTGCTCCTGAGTAGAATGAAACCCCCTTTTACTGCGACACAATGTTCAGGAAATGGTGTACTACGGTGCAGTATGTCCGATATGAAAAAACGTACTGAACATTGTGCAATATGAATGGGCTAATTAATGATGGGATTCAACCAGTTAAATGTAACTAAATGTAAACGAAAATGTAATCTACATAATCCCCCCAAAATAATTATGTATCATAAGAGGACCAGACACAATAACTAGTAATGCTGCATACTCCAAGGTTCAAATCTCACATTTATGGTACAAATAGCCTGGTCCAGAGGGCCTGGTCCGGAGTAAGCAGAACGTCCAGAGCTGCTGATTAGGGCCTGGTCCGGAGTAAGCAGAACGTCCAGAGCTGCTGATTAGGGCCTGGTCCGGAGTAAACAGAACGTCCAGAGCTGCTGATTAGGGCCTGGTCCGGAGTAAGCAGAACGTCCAGAGTGCGATTAGGCTGGTCGGAGTAGGCGAAGTCCGATTAGGCTGGTCCGGAGTAAGCAGAACGTCCAGAGCTGCTGATTAGGGCCTGGTCCGGAGTCAAGCAGAACGTCCAGAGCTGCTGATTAGGGCCTGGTCCAGAGTAAGCAGAACGTCCAGAGCTGCTGATTAGGGCCTGGTCCGGAGTAAACAGAACGTCCAGAGCTGCTGATTAGGGCCTGGTCCAGAGTAAGCAGAACGTCCAGAGCTGCTGATTAGGGCCTGGTCCGAGAGTAAGCAGAACGTCCAGAGCTGCTGATTAGGGCCTGGTCCGGAGTAAACAGAACGTCCAGGGGCTGCTGATGGCCTGGTCGGAGTAAAAGAACGTCCAGAGTGTGATTAGGCTGGTCTGAGTAAAGAGTTTCGTCAGAGTGCTGATAGGGCTGGCGGAAGTAAGCGAGCCAGAGCTGTTAGTATTTATGCTGGTCGAGTGAAGACCCAAGACTATCCTTGCCTCTTATCAACCACATCCTTGACCTTGTCCCTAACCTCTGACCTCTGACCCTGTGTTGCTGCAGATGCACCAGAGGTCCAACCCCCTGTATGACGGCAGGGTCACTGAGGGAGAACAGAAATAGACCGGATTCAGCACAGGAAAAGAGTCCATTTGGTACAAGCACCAACATCCAACGACTTGATGCTCCAAGCACCCGGGCAGGATAGTAGATAAGATCTAGCAACCTGATGTACTGTGAAATAGGATATTCTCCAGAAATCATATACCTGATTATCAAAATGGTTGAACATGCCAATGTGGGGAAGCTATAGCCCTAGTAATTGGCATAGAAATTGCCTCAACAATACATGCCTATACTTCATACATTGCAGCATAGAGTGTGCATATGACAATATTCATAAACCCTGTGTGACGGCAGGGTCATCTGAGGAGAAGAAAATAGAGGATTATCAAGGAAAAGGTCCTTTGGATACAAGCCACCAACCGTCACCACAGACTTTGACGCTCACAGCACCCGGCAGATATAGAGACAAGGTCTAGCAACCATGATACTGTGAAAATAGGATATATTCTCCAGACAACTCATATACTTCATAATACATTCATGGTGAAACAATTGCCAATGTGGGGATAAAGCTGATAGCCCTGAAATGGCCATAGCATATTGCTCAACAATACATGCACTATACTTTCATACATATTGCCAGCAATAAAGAGTGTGAATTAAATGTACAATACAATTTAAATATTTAAATAAAAGCATCTCTGTGTGGTTGAAGCTTGTCATCTCGAAGTAAAACAAATATTTAAAAAAATATGTATTAGATTTCATGATATATATCTCGTGACTGATTGTGTCACGCCGTAGTTCCATACCACCTTGACCTATAGATGGGGGTTGGGGAGATCCCCATCGTCGCTATTCGTTTGTAGCTTCCATCTGTCAAAGCATCATCGGAGTTAGTCATTACTAATATTCAATCGAGAGTAAAGTAACGTTTAGTGCCTTCTTTGCGGTTTTTTGGACACAGCTGATCGCCAGAACGCATACAGCGCCTATTTTAGGCTAACAAGCTAACAAGTGACAACGCGTCACTTTCTCCAGGTATGTTTTGGTGAAGAGGGATGCTATTAGCCAATAGCCATGATGATAGTATGTTTTGGTGAGGAGGGATGCTATTAGCCAATAGCCATGATGATAGTATGTTTTGGTGAGGAGGGATGCTATTAGCCAATAGCCATGATGATAGTATGTTTTGGTGAGGAGGGATGCTATTAGCCAATAGCCATGATGATAGTATGTTTTGGTGAGGAGGGATGCTATTAGCCAATAGCCATGATGATAGTATGTTTTGGTGAGGAGGGATGCTATTAGCCAATAGCCATGATGATAGTATGTTTTGGTGAGGAGGGATGCTATTAGCCAATAGCCATGATGATAGTATGTTTTGGTGAGGAGGGATGCTATTAGCCAATAGCCATGATGATAGTATGTTTTGGTGAGGAGGGATGCTATTAGCCAATAGCCATGATGATAAAGAGGAGGGATGCTATTAGCCAATAGCCATGATGATAGTATGTTTTGGTGAGGAGGGATGCTATTAGCCAATAGCCATGATGATAGTATGTTTTGGTGAGGAGGGATGCTATTAGCCAATAGCCATGATGATAGTATGTTTTGGTGAGGAGGGATGCTATTAGCCAATAGCCATGATGATAGTATGTTTTGGTGAGGAGGGATGCTATTAGCCAATAGCCATGATGATAGTATGTTTTGGTGAGGAGGGATGCTATTAGCCAATAGCCATGATGATAGTATGTTTTGGTGAGGAGGGATGCTATTAGCCAATAGCCATGATGATAGTATGTTTTGGTGAGGAGGATGCTTAGCAATAGCCATGATTTTTTGGTTGAGGAGGTCTATTAGCCAATAGCCATGATGATATGTTGGGAGGAGGGATGCTATTAGCCAATAGCCATGATGATAGTATGTTTTGGTGAGGAGGGATGCTATTAGCCAATAGCCATGATGAGTATGTTGGGAGGAGGGATGCTATTAGCCAATAGCCATGATGATAAAGAGGAGGGATGCTATTAGCCAATAGCCATGATGATAGTATGTTTTGGTGAGGAGGGATGCTATTAGCCAATAGCCATGATGATAAAGAGGAGGGATGCTATTAGCCAATAGCCATGATGATAAAGAGGAGGGATGCTATTAGCCAATAGCCATGATGATAGTATGTTTTGGTGAGGAGGGATGCTATTAGCCAATAGCCATGATGATAAAGAGGAGGGATGCTATTAGCCAATAGCCATGATGATAAAGAGGAGGGATGCTATTAGCCAATAGCCATGATGATAAGAGGGGAGTTAGGAGCCAAATCCATGATGAAAAGAGGAGGATGTATTACCAATAGCCATGATGTAAAGGGAGGATGCTATTAGCCAATAGCCATTGATGATTAAAGAGGAGGGATGCTATTAGCCCAATAGCCATGATTGATAGTATGTTTTGGTGAGGAGGATGCTATTAGCCAATAGCCATGATGGATTAGTATGTTTTGGTGAGGAGGGATGCTATTGCCAATAGCCCATGATGATGTATGTTTTGGTGAGGGGGGATGCTATTAGGCAATAGCCATGATGATAGTATGTTTTGGTGAGGAGGGATGCTATTAGCCAATAGCCATGATGATAAATGGACGTCTGAACGGACTGACAAATCCAATGCAAAATAAATCCTAGGATAAAATACATGGCAATGCAAACCATTTTACCTTTATTGATTAGAATAGGATTGACACCATTGATAAAGACGAGCAAAAATGACTGTATAAATGTGCTTATGGAGAATCTCATGGAGAAGCCCTCTTCAATTCAAAACACGGGGTTTCAATGGGTTTGAAGTCCGGAGACTGAGATGGCCATTGCAACATTTACATTTTGTGGCCAATT